GTACTGTTGGGTCTCTGTAAATGTTATAAGGAGTTCGGTCTAGACCTGCTCTATTTGAAAAGTGTCCTGAGATAACTTCTGTTATGAATTGGCGCTATGCAAATAAAATTTAACTGAAGTGAAATATACGAATATGCAATTAATGAAAGCTACTACTGTCTACTTAATTACACATGCAGCACAACATAAATGACACTTAACTTCACATGGGCTTTCTGAGAAATATAACGTAACAAAGACGTGAGCACCATCGTTGGTTGCTGGGTGAATGTGTGTCTAACTTTCCATGTGACTTAGCTATGATAGCTAATGGTAGTGATGGTTGATTCATTGGCACAATTGACCCATTTTCACCAAAAACGTTTTTTTCCAGTCCATACAATTACAGTTGTAATACCAATGTGACATACTGAGACTTATGCTACATTTTCATGTATGTCCTGGCTGAAGTAAAGTATTATTATTGGTATGGTGTCACAACCTGTGGACCAAAATTTGTAATTTGTTACTGTCCTTTAGAACCAAGTGCAACAACAATTTGGAACAGTTTTTACAGATGAACAGATGATGTCCAGCTGATAGGGTTGTCTGATCATAAAACCCATATAGTATGTGTAAAGAGCAGTTACAAACTATGTATTTTTTCATTTAATTTGGGGGGAAATAAGTATTATTATAGGTTATTAAGACAATATGACGTGTAGAAAATATCTGCAGTGACGTAAAATGATAACAGAGTGTAGAAAAAGAGCAATAACTCTGCTGGTGCAGGAGCTGTCTTTAAATATCCCTACTGCATGATGGGATCTGAGGTTTCAAGAAGTATTACATAATTTATCTTTGATGTACTCGTGTTTTTGGACTAGAGACATGGTGAAACATGGGACAAGGACTTTGTGATTAGTCTTTCTCTAACATGTCCAGACTGTATGGCTCTGAGTGACGTCCTGATCCAGTCTGTCCGTTATCACATTTGACAGTACAGAATGACTGACAAGCTGAAGAGATAATGACACTGACATAATCAGAATATTTGGATGTTTTCACCTTCTACCTCCACACTTACTGTCACACCCTTTTTGTAAAACTCAGTTCTGTATGGTCTCCTATACCAAAGGTTTGAATGGCTTTACTGTACCTTAGTGTAAATAAAACGAATAGTCTAAAGTCTTTAGTCTTAATAATAAACCTACATATGGCTGTCAGGATTTACTACTCCACCCCGGCTCAGCAGAAAAACACAGATAGAAAGTGTATATATATTTATATTGGTGTTTATGTGGGAGTCCGTGTATGAATAGCATAGAATAGAATAATTACTACCATGTCTGTTAGGAGAGAGTTATGGTGAATGATCAGGCATCAGCTCCACATTAAGAAAGGTTGTCAAACAAAGTCCAGTGAGATAGAGATGTATGCTTTTGCCTTTAGTATGACTTTTTTTTTTTGGTATAGTTAAACATAATACAATTAGTTTTTAATTGGTTAGAGGACATTCTCAGTTTAATACCTCTATGTGACAGACATAAACAAACAGGACCATCAGGAAGAATGTTGGTTATTTCTAGTTACTCTTAATGGGTCAGATTCGGTCAGACCCCCCTTGAAATAAATGAAATGAGGCGGTGGAAACACTGTTTTCTGCCAGAATCAGAATCAACACAAAATGAAAGTTCTGTGTAACTGCTTTAATGAAAGTAAGCCAACAGGGCAAAGAGCAAGATCAAGGAGAACACTAAATAATGGTGAATAATGTTCCCAGTAATAGTAGATAAAGTTGATGCAACTTGTCCTGTGTCCAGAATTGTGACACAGGGGGGCAGGTAGGTACTTGCATGGTGCAGTGTTGGCTGTATCTGTAAATCCCATGAGAAATAATCTGCATATTGAGTAAAATTGGTTATGTGTAATATCTTTATCTTTATAAGTTGTATTTTCCTGTTTGAGGTACATTTGAATTCATTTAGATGTATAGAAGTCCAGAATTCGGGAGCCCATCTTCTGGTTACCAGAGGTGGGCAGGTGTGTAGTTCCTTCGAGGAACTAACAGGGGCATTTCCAGGCTTTTTTGACTGGGGTGGCACAAGTGACTGACTTTTGCAGGGGGGCAGGAAGTATGTGTGTCATCTTTCCAATTCCAACACTGTTTATGGACCCCAGTATGCATAAATATTCCAATACACTAGGCGAAAATAACAAATTTATACCACATGCAAACAGCTGCATGGGATTAGCATAAAGTAGGCATGATTGCAAACGGGAGACTCGTGGGTACCCATAGAACCCATTTTCATTCAGATATCTTGAGGTCAGCGGTCAAGGGATACCTATGAGAATGGTCATGCCAGTTTTTCCTCCATCTTGTACAGTGCAGTTGTGCTAGAAAACAAAGACAAAAGTAGCTGCTGCTCAGTACGCCTTTACCACTGAACACATTGACAGTTTGATTAATTTGACTGAAACCCTCTTAGTTAGACACTTGCAGCTGTACTTTCATAATGAAGGTCTGTCTGTGTCCTTGGGCTAGAAAAATAAATAGTATCAAACAGGAAATTGATATGAGCCTGGCCATTATGCAACATACTGTACATTATAGATGATATGACTGATGTGACCTACTCCAGTTTGACAGGCTTATCACAAAGGACATGTTGAGTTTGTATCGCTGAACTTGTGGAGTGAAACGACAGACTTACTGTTCAGACTAAGATTTAGATATGATAGAGTCCCAAGTCCAGAGTTACAGTCCAGATAAGAGTGAGATCTGTGTCAACTTTAAATTTTTTACAATGTCTACTGTGAATCTGGTTTTAATTTACTAATAAAGAGTACATCAACACAAAATGTGGACCTCCTTTTCTGTGTGTATCAGAAATTATATGAAATGTTAGGTCAGTTTAACCTTCATTTTTTTAATTAAAACTAGACAAAAACACCAATTGTAACAATCACTAATACTTTATTTAGAATACATGCCATATAAGGGTAATACTGTATCGGTTGAAACAGTGACAGTGTGAAAACTGTGTCTAAAGATCAGGTAATACATATATATGTATATAATACATAAATAATGCTGGCTACCAGATACATTTATTAACAACCTGTACCATACACTACAGTGTTGTCATGTAGGTAAATAGAGCAGGTTGAAGTTTGAAAAGGAAGTATAATTCCTTATAGACAAAACTTATATATCAGCTAACTAGACTCAGACTTAAACTTTGGAAGTGATGTTGCTGACTATTCCTTGATAATACATATTTTTCACTGCTAGACACTCAGATGCCAGTAAAACTCCTGCATTGTTTTCTTTAGTGTAGCTTCTGTGGTTGCCATTGTCAGCAGGCCATGATTAGACCTCTGCTTAGGTTGGAGTTAGGTGGAGCTATGTTGGGAACAAAGTGCATCTGCAGGAAGGATAATGCAGCAGTCACACCACAGAGTGACATTTGTTTGTCTATGCACATTGGTGTGAACCATTGACAGTATATATAATGGACAGAGCTTCCAGGTCTGAAAAGTGAAGCTAACACAAAGTGTCTTAATCCTGCATTCTATGTAAAGGCCAGCAGGGGGAGCTCCATTGGCTGCAATAACACACGGATACCATACAGTCTTATGGGGAAATGAC